CCCCCGCCCCCATACCCGCCCCGCTTAATAATATAATTAAAAAATTATTTTTTATATATATAAACCAAAATTAGAAATATTTATATGTAAAAATTTATATTATTGTACTTTTTTTTTAATTTTTTTTTAAAATTTTTCATATTTATTTAAAAGAAAAAAAGAAGAAAAAAAAATAGGAGCGGGGACGGGGGCGGGACGGAGAAACCCGAAACCTCGCCGGGAGCGGGAATGGGGACCCAGATTTTATCCCCGACAGGTATCGGGGGCGGGGGCGGAGAACGTAAAACCCACCCTCGCCCCGCCCCGTTGCCATGCCTAAAGGGAAACTCCTAAGTCAACGAAAAATTTTAAATGTATCAATCAAACTATAAGGAAAAGTTCTTTCTTAGATAATCCAGCAACCTCTCCTCAACTCAACAGTCAATTTCCTTATGAATGTTGGTTCAACTCGCACTAAAATCTAATCTATCTCACCGTAGAAAACCATATTGTTTCTGATATGAATTCCCAAACCCAAAAAATGGATTTGAAATATTCACCATGACTCACGAGCACAAATAGAAAATTAAACCTTAGAAATTAGAAGGGTCAATCTTGGAAACTTTTCCTCTTTCAAACCGCAGCAACCCTCCCCATAAAATAATCCACAGAAGAATCATACTCCTTTCCCATTGTTGAAATTTATAAAACAAAAATCAAAATTTTCAATCATTCCACCAATCACCCTAAAGGAAGGACCAAGTCAAAGTCTTCAATTTTCTCGTTGAGTTTCACTTCCCTCAGTTCCCAATATAACCCCTTCCCTCAACACAAATCATTAACACACACATCCAACAACATCGTTATGGTATTTATTACATTCACATTCAAAGAGACACGCACACAAAACTGAAACATCAGAAAACATGTTCCTCAAAACCCACTTTCTGTTCCTCGTTCTTGTTTTAGCAACCACCGCCGTCGCCACCGCCATAGACCTTGGTTCCACTCTCTCAGCCTCTTCCCGCAACCAGACGTGGTCTTCTACCGACGCCTCCTACTCTCTGGGTTTCGTCTCCGTTCAGCCACCGACCACCCCTCCTTCCTACACCGCCGCCATCGTCTACTCCGGCGGCGCCCCCGTCGTCTGGTCTGCCGGCAACGGCGCCGCCGTGGACTCCGGCGGGTCCCTCCAGTTCCTCCGCAACGGCGCCCTCCGCCTCGTGAACGGCTCCGGCGCCACCGTGTGGGACTCCGGCACGGCGGACCTTGGCGCCACGTCAGCAACCCTTGAAGAGAGTGGCAATTTGGTAATTTCGAACGGCACGGGTACCCTCTGGTCAAGCTTTGACCACCCCACTGATACTATTTTGCCTTCTCAGAATTTCAGTGTTGGTAAGTCTCTCACATCTCAAAGTTACTCTTTTGGTCTTAGTTCAATTGGGAATTTGACTCTGAACTGGAACAATAGCATAGTGTACTGGACCCAGGGTTTGAACTCTTCTGTGAATGTGAGTTTGGATTCCCCTGTGTTGGGGTTGACATCAATTGGCATTTTGCAACTTTCTGATGCCAAATTGAGCACTCCTGTTGTTATTGCTTATAGTAGTGACTATGCTGAGGGGAATAGTGATGTGTTGAGGGTGTTGAAGTTGGACAATGATGGCAATTTGAGAATTTATAGCACCAATAAGGGTAGTGCAAGTTCTAGTGCTAGATGGACTGCTGTGTTGGATCAGTGTGAGGTTTATGCTTACTGTGGGAACTATGGTGTGTGTAGTTACAATGATTCAAGCCCGATTTGCGGGTGCCCTTCGGAGAATTTCGAAATGGTTGATCCAAATGATGCTAGGAAAGGTTGCAGGAGGAAGGCAAGTCTCGACAGTTGTCAAGGGAGTGCGACTATGTTGACACTGGATCATGCTGTGATCTTGAGTTATCCCCCTGAGGCTGCATCGCAGTCGTTTTTCATAGGGATATCGGCGTGTAGAGGGAATTGTCTTTCAAGTACTGGAGTCTGTTATGCTTCTACTTCCTTGTCGGATGGATCAGGGCAGTGCGTGATCAGATCAGTAGATTTTGTTAGCAGTTATCACAATCCTTCACTGCCCAGCACTACTTATGTCAAGGTTTGTCCCCCGTTGGCACCGAATCCGCCACCCTCTTTGGGGGGGACTGTGACACAAAAGAGGTCCAGGGTGCCTGCTTGGGTTGTGGTTGTTGTTGTTTTGGGTACAATTTTGGGTTTGATTGCCTTGGAAGGTGGTTTGTGGGTGTGGTGTTGTAGGAACCGTGCGAGGTTTGGAGGGATGTCTGCTCATTATGCGCTTCTTGAGTATGCTTCTGGTGCGCCAGTGCAGTTCTCGTACAAGGAGCTGCAGCAAGCTACAAAGGGGTTCAAGGAGAAGCTTGGAGCTGGGGGATTTGGTGCTGTGTACAGAGGAACTCTTGTTAACAAAACTGTTGTTGCTGTGAAGCAACTTGAGGGCATTGGGCAAGGTGAGAAGCAGTTTAGGATGGAAGTTGCCACTATAAGTAGCACTCATCATCTCAATTTGGTGAGGCTTATTGGCTTTTGCTCTGAAGGGCGCCACCGGCTTCTGGTTTACGAGTTCATGAAAAATGGGTCTCTTGATGATTTTCTCTTCATGACAGAACAACATTCAGGAAAGTTGTTGAATTGGGAGTATCGATACAACATTGCCCTGGGCACTGCAAGAGGCATCACATACTTACATGAGGAGTGCCGTGACTGCATAGTCCATTGTGACATAAAACCTGAAAACATTCTCTTGGATGAGAACTATATAGCCAAAGTCTCTGATTTTGGTCTTGCAAAGCTCATTAATCCCAAGGACCACCGGCATCGGACCTTGACAAGCGTGAGAGGAACCAGAGGATATTTGGCCCCAGAATGGCTGGCGAATCTTCCCATAACATCCAAATCTGATGTTTATAGCTATGGCATGGTTTTGTTGGAGATTGTGAGTGGGAGAAGGAATTTTGATGTCTCAGAGGAAACAAATAGGAAGAAGTTCTCCATTTGGGCCTATGAAGAGTTTGAGAGAGGTAACATCAGTGGAATTTTGGACAAAAGACTAGCTGACCATGAAGTTGACATGGAGCAAGTGAAAAGAGCAATTGAAGCAAGCTTTTGGTGCATTCAAGAGCAGCCATCTCAAAGACCAACAATGAGCAGGGTGTTGCAAATGCTAGAAGGGGTAACAGAGATTGCAAAGCCACCTGCTCCAAAATCAGTGATGGAAGGAACTGTTAGTGGAACCAGCACACACCCGAGTAGCAATGCCAGTGCATTCTCCACAATTGCAGCTTCACCACCTGTTCCCTCCTCTACATCATCATTTCAAACTAGTGCTGTTTCAACCTTAACCTCAGGAAGGAACACTGAGAAGGCTACCTTATCCCTTTTACAATCAGACACGTGACAGGAATTGCTTCCATTTTCCTTTTTCATATGTCCAATAAGAATTGGTTCAAAGTCACATTCACTTGGGATGGGACTTGATGCTGGAACAGCAGAAGTAAAAGCTTTGCTGGTCAACCGATGTATATTTCATTTTTCTTTTCTTTACCCTGATCATTGTATACACTATACACGTTCAAAACAGGAGATTGCAATGTTGTAAGTATTCAATTCCTGTAATTTTTGTCATGTTTATATCCGTCTGATGAAGGAAAAGTTTTAAACTCATCCGTTCACCGTTCCAGTTTCCCAAATAATTTGTTTGTATACTTTATTTACGGTTACACAGTTCATCATTGGTTGTTTTAATATATATTCGTTCCAACATTGCCATAATCCTATTTGAGCACAGTGAGACGGACTAGAGGTTAGTGCTGGCACTGTGGCTCAATCATAGTTATGCAGTCTGTGTGACTCTAGTCGAGATAACAATGTTGTCTTGTACTACATGTTTCTAGTTGCAGAAGCAGAATCTGTCTCACTCACCCTTTGCATGGCTAAAGTTATACTACAATTGTTAGCAACACATTTTCTAGCATTTGTTTTCCCTTTAAATGATCAAGTTAAATTTGGTAATTTTGATGGATTAATTGTAGCAGACAGAATTTGTCTGACACATTAGCCCTGCACATGGATAAGCCAAATTTTCTGGGTCGCCATTGTAACCTTATAATATTTTTGCTATGCCAACAAAAGTAAGATTTTTTTATATATTTTTTATGAGGATTGTTATATCCTCCAAAGTCGGAACGAAATACAGTTCGAAATTTTAAAATATTAATATTTTTTAATAAATTTATTATTAAATAATTATTTAATTTAATATTTTATAATTTAATTTATTTTTTAATCGTTTGGAATACGTTTGGGACAATTCAATCAAACGATGTAGAATTTTTCTTCTTTTTTTTTTATACCGTCTAATTGATTTTTTCTTTATGCATAAAAATCTATATTTAAAAGATTGACTACTTGAGAAAGGAATTTCATCATCATCTACGTCAATCACTTGTTGATATAATTGGTTATCCATTTTTTTTAACAAAGAGATATTATTGAATTAATTTTTATAAGAATAAAATAATATTTTAAGTCGTAATTCCATGCTGAAAACAGAAATTGAAACTAATTTTTAATTAAAGAGCACATATGTTGAATTATTTGAAATAATGAATTTTAATTATTGGTTATCCATCTAATAAAATATATTTAGTTTTTTCCCTTCCAAATCCAATAGTTTGGGAGAACGATGGCTGAATGATGATGCGAGACTTTTTGTTTCATCATGCACATAATTAAATCAACTAAGGTCTTTCTAGTTGTCACATGTCCAATGTCCAAGTAATTAATTTCATAGCAAAGAAGGCAGCAGTTTTTATTTATTTATTTAAGTTGAATTATATTCATGACATCTCACATCTTCATGGAAATCACGTTATTGTCTCATCATTATTTGTGGACTGCAATACCCTTCCCCCAAGGTAAAAATGCTAATACAAGATTATACTTTATGAATACCTCATTGTCAATGCTCAAAGTCAATAAATCTTCCAAATAATACCCGTGTGATCATGTTAATTGTCAAACGTCAACGTCTCCATTTCTAATGAGTTCAAATTCAATGTACAACTAGGACTTGGTTCCTGGCTCCAGCTGTTGAAAACCACCCCATCATAGAGGTTACATAACTCGTAATCCAGTTGTCATATCAGTTTAGCAAATTCATCAATAAGTTAGATGGTCAATGTAAGATTAAGAGTTTGTTTAAATTTTTCTAAAAATATTTTTAGTAGAAATTTATGAGATAAAATTAATTTATATACAATAAATTAACTTATGTATAAGTTAATTTTAACTTATAAAAAAATTCTTTCATTTTTCTTGTTAATTTTCTCTCTAAAAATTGCTTTCGATTACTCAAACATACAGACCCTGATTAAAATAACTAGTTAATCTAAAAGCGTTGTTGAAACTTTCCCTATTATTCCAAGTAAGAATGATGTTAAAACGCCAGGCCATGGAAGATATGGTAACAGAACATTGATACATTTGCATTCACCGAAGTTAAGACCATGAATCTCCTCATATTGTTTCCTAAAAAAACAGTTAACTTTGAGATTATTTAAATTGAATATTTATTTTTCAACAAATAGTCATATGAATTTGTAAGAATATATTAAGTGACAAATTGTCAACAGCTTTTTATAAGAATTTCCATTGGAAATCAAATAATTACTTCCACCAGATAGTTTTGTATCAGCAACTAGTGATAATACATGCATGTTAAGTGAAGAAGGCAATGAAATCAATCACAAATGAACCAATAGTCCTCCAAAAAAATTATTTAGATTTAGTTCATAACTTCATAAAATTACAATGAGAGTTTTATATTATTTCTGACTTTCTAACAATATAAAGGATAAAGTATCCCACTTTATGTTCCTCCCTTATGCAAAAGACAAGAATGTTTGTAATGATGGATGAAGATGAGGTGCAAATTAGTGTTGGGTTTGAGACAAGTCTTAGTGTAGACAGAAAAAAGAAAGAGACATAATATTTTTTTATATATGAATTAAGAATCAAAATTGCAATTACAATAGATGGTCCTGGTTGGTGTATATATAGACTCTTTTATTCCAATGAGCAGAACAATTAATAAAATAGAAAAAGAAATAACAAAAAAAAAATAGTTAATTAAAAAATTAGTAAAAACACTTATATTAATAGCTCCCCACAAGTTGGATTGTGTACATCATGAAGTCCTAACTTGGAGAGAAAATTTGTGAAAGTGCAAGGTGCAACGATTTAGTGAATGCATTAGCTAATATATTGTGAAGCGGAAGGCACTAGAAGGAGATGAATAAGCCCAAAATGCAACTTTTATTGAATAATATGGCAATAAATTTCAATATGTTTTGTCCGCTCATGAAAAATTAGGATCGTGAGAAAGATAAATGGTAAATTTATTATCGCAATAAATGGAGGCAAGATGATCAAAGTGAATGTGTAGATCCTTAAAAAAAATTGAGCCACTGGATTTTGCAAGTGAAGCTACCTAGAGCTCTATACTCAGCCTCAATGGAAGACCTTTTTGATATTGTATTTTGGTTTTTTAGATTTTCAAGAAATAAGAATGGAATCGAGAAAAACACAATATCCAATTATCGATCATCGAGTGTCCAAGCAATAAGCCTAGTTAGAATATGCAAAACCAAATAACTTTAGTTGACTAGAGGTAGAGAAAAATAGGCTTTTCGTAGGAGATGCCTTCAGGTAATGAAGTACTCTAGTGCTAGCTTGAAAATAGGGCTCAAAAGGCTTAGAGACATATTGATTAAGCTATTGGACAACAAAAGCAATGTCCGATTTGGTAGTAGTCAAATATAGCAACCTACTAATGAGGTGCTAGTAAAAGGTTTCATTAGATAAGTCATCTCTAGAGTCAATTTGGAGTTTAGTAGATGGATTGAAAGAGGTGGATGCAAGTTTTGGCAACTAGCAAACTATTGTTCTTAAGCAATTTTAAAGTGTACTTTCTTTTTTTAAGTACAATTCCTTCTTTTGATCAAGCAATCTCAAGCCCAAAAAAAAATCTAAGATGGCCAAGATCTTTAACTTTAAATTAGTCATCAAGAAACTGTTTGACATTGTTAATCTCTTGCATACTATTACCAACAAATATTATATCATCAACATAAACTAATAAAGCAGTTAAATCAGAACCTAAACTATTTACAAATAATGAGTGATTAGCCATAAATTGGGTATAACCCAAGGTCACTTGAGTAGTAGACAATTTAGCATACCATTGTCTATTAGCTTGTTTATGAACATATAAAGATTTATGAAGCCGACAAACCTTATTGCAATTAAATTAGCTAGTAGGAGTCACACCTAGATGAAGCACCATATAAACTTCTTCATGTAAGTCCCCATGGAGAAATGCATTATTTACATCTAACTGCTTAAGAAACCATCCACGTTCAATAGCTAAGGCAAGAAGGGTTCTCATAGTTGTTAATTTGGCAATTGGAGAAAAAGTATAAAAAAGTAATCCACACCTTCCAATTGTGTATAGCCCTTGGCCACTAGATTGCCCTTATGTCTCTCTATTGAACCATCAACATGATATTTTATTTTGTAAACCCATTTACATGCGGTGGGGGTTTTCCTTGAAGAAAGATCAATAATTGTTCATAATGAGTGATTAGCCATAAATTGGGTATAACCCAAGGTCACTTGAGTAGTAGACAATTTAGCATACCATTGTCTATTAGCTTGTTTATGAACATATAAAGATTTATGAAGCCGACAAACCTTATTGCAATTAAATTAGCTAGTAGGAGTCACACCTAGATGAAGCACCATATAAACTTCTTCATGTAAGTCCCCATGGAGAAATGCATTATTTACATCTAACTGCTTAAGAAACCATCCACGTTCAATAGCTAAGGCAAGAAGGGTTCTCATAGTTGTTAATTTGGCAATTGGAGAAAAAGTATAAAAAAGTAATCCACACCTTCCAATTGTGTATAGCCCTTGGCCACTAGATTGCCCTTATGTCTCTCTATTGAACCATCAACATGATATTTTATTTTGTAAACCCATTTACATGCGGTGGGGGTTTTCCTTGAAGAAAGATCAATAATTGTTCATGTGTGGTCTTGATCAAGGGCTATCAACTCAACATGCATAACTTGTTACCAACTTTCATGTTTGGAGGCCTGAGCATATGTTTGGGGCTTAATTTAAGCAGTGACAGCTAGGAAAAACCATTTATATTCTTGTTAACAATTTCCATAGGAAAAAATAGAAGAAAAAGGATAAGGGGTACCTGAAAAATGCTTGGAACAAATAGAAGAAGAAAGATTGTAATGGTAGTCCCCCAAATATCGTGGATGATTTTTTTGCCCAAATAGAATATCTAATAGGTTGAAAGGGTTGGTTATTAGAAGAAATGTGAGGTGAGGAATTAGTGAGTATTTGAGATGAGAGAAGGGGTAAGTATCAAGAGGAATATTAGAATTGGTGAGATAAGTTGGGGGACATGTGTGCGAGAATCATGAGGTGAGTTTGCTTGTTGAATATGCAAGGCAAAGTTGAGGTTAGATGAAAAACACATAGAAGGGGAGTTGAATATGTGTTTGTGTGAACAAGGAGAATTTTTAGAAACGTTTTCACAATAGATAATTAGATTCGTCTAACAAGGTGTTAAAACGTTAGATGATTATACAAGATTTTCTCAGCTCAAGGT